TTTTTTTTTTATGTGCTGGAATGTGCAGAAAATAGGTTTAAATATTAAACAAATTTCTTCCAGTCAGAGAATGTTGCATATAATTACATTTTTGCTTGATGCATAAAGTTAAAAGATTAAAATTAATAAAACAAGTTTTAAAAAAGGAGACTTTTCCATTTGATTACATTTTGTATGATGGATTATGTAGAAAAAGTAGAATTTGGCTGAAAGATCTATCGCTCTATCACCTATTCAGGTTGTAAATTGTGTTTTAAAAAAGTAACTAAGTAACTAAGTTACTAAGTAATTAATTACTTTTGAAAATAAGTAATTAAAGTACTGATTACTTTTTTGGGGAAGTAATCAGTAATTTGTTACTGATTACTTTTTTCAAGTAACTTGACCAACACTGGTCACAGATAACACAAATTAGTAAAACTGTATAAATAAGGGCCACACTAAAGTCTTTATTCATCATTTTTAACTCTGAAGGGTAGGACCTTTACAAACGGAAATTTATTAATTCCATATTGAGTCCATACACTGATTAGAAAAGTGTTCACAAGGCTCATAGATCAAACAAGCCAAGGCTAATTTTTAAAGAGGTTTCTATAGAATCAGTCTCCTCAGATGAGTGACCACCTAGTGGCTATTATAATGAATATAGATTTAAGCACTTCAGAAAAGGGATGAATGGACCCTGGACCGCCTTCAGATGTAAGGCAGGGCCTTAATGTAGGCTGCCTCTGGTTGTGAGAGAAGCCAGAGTGTAGATCAGACACAAATAGAAAAGCCCTGTTTTGTCCTCAGCTGCAAAAGGCTTGTACAAAATGTAATGACACTATTTAAGAGGAAGGATGTGAGGCACATAGGTAATCCTAAACCTTTTAAAAATAAACACAGGGCAGTTTGAAACGCAAGAGCTATCCTAAACAACATGCTAAATATCCCTGAAATTCTCTGTTTTTCTGTTAGTTTTGTAGGATTGCATTTGTAGTGGCGTGTCTGATTATCCTTCCTCTAAAGGTGGGGATTACCCTCAATGACCTCACAGTAAAGACACAACCATTAGGGACAACAAACACACATTGCTGTGGCGATGGTTCCAGGAGGTTTAATTCAACCTGTCGTTTGACTGCGAGGTCACTCCAGTGGTATAAACACCTTTAAATCATCAGATGATCTCATCAGAACACACACATGGAAAATACAGTACACTCAACTCAGGCACAGCTGTCCAGCTCTACATAAATGGAACTCTAAGCAATCATGGACAAAGACAACATGCTAAAACAAAGCTAGTAATGAAGAATGATACTAAAGTTGAGTCTATGCTGAACCCAGAAAAGTTGGCTCCTCCAGCAGGGAACAAAATGAGAGATAAGCGGCTATGTTTGTAGCTACACTTCTAACCGTATGTGTTTCTATATCAGAATTGCAATGACAACTGCTGTAGTTTCTCATTGGGCTACTTTTTAGCTTTTTGTTCATCCCTAAACACTAAAAGAAAGATCCTAATGATGACGCACACCAGGTATTGATTTGAGTCACTCTGTGGGATCTCTTATTTTGTTAAATGGTAGTTATAAACCAAATATATATCAAATACAAAAAAAAAAATGGGGATGTCTTATTTTTAAGAGATTGATGTCAGAATTCTGAGATTCTTACTTTAATCTAAGAATTCTGAGAAAAAAGTACAAATCCTGAGATTAAGACTGAGATTAATTCTGATTTAAAAAAATATTGAATTCTGAGATTAAAGTCAGAATTCCGATAACAAAGAATTCTGAGAAAAAAAGTCTGAATTCTGATTTCAATCTCAGAATTCCAAGAAAAAAATTGAGAATCCAGAGACTAAAGTCAGAATTCTGAAGGAAAAGAATTCAGAGAAAAAAAGTGAAAATCCTGAGTTTAAAGGTAGAATTCTGATTTTTAAAAACATTTGAATTCTGAGATAAAAGTCAGAATTCTTTAATCTCAGAATTCTGAGAAAAAAGTCACAATTCTGACTTTTTTCTCAGAATTCTGTAGAATCCTGAGATTAAAGTCAGAGTTCTGAGAAGAAAAGTAGAATTCTGAGGTCAAAATTCTGATTAAAAAAAGTTTGAATTCTGAGAAAAAAGTCAGAATTCTGATGTTAAATCCAGAATTCCGAGAAAAGAAGTCAGAATCTTGAGGTTAAAGTCTGAATTCTGAGAAAAATAGAATTCTGAGAAAAAAAGTTTGAATTCTGACATAAAAATCAGAATTCTTTAATCTCAGAATTCTGAGAACAAAGTCAGAATCCTGGGATTAAAGTCAGAATTCCGAGAACAAAGAATTCTGAGAAAAAAGTGAAAAAAAAAAAAAGACATCCCCAATTTTTTTCCCAGTGCCCCAATCCTCTTCTATAGAACACTAAGCACCACAGTACACAGAAAAGATATTCAGTTTTTGCTGCTTCGTGGTATCCAGTGTGTGTGTGTGTGTGTGTGCGCACGCACGCTCATTGTTATGATTTTAATTTGTAACTTCACTTTCACCTCCCCACCCTCTAATACTGTTTTAAATCCCTTTATGACTCTCCTCTTGCACTTTCTTTTGTTTCATTTCATTCATTTTTTCATTCATTTTTCTGCTCTTTTTAAAAATAGTTTTCAATAGGGACATAATTCTGAATGTTCTGGAAAGAGCAGTGAATGTTTACAACATATGGAAACACAACGTGGAGTCATGGTTTGCATTTAAAATACTCAGCTGATCCATATGAGTAGAGCTTTGTTTAATAGGTTTTACTGTGTTTAATAAATGCTCGTTTTTATTATTACTCCAGAGAAATACAGACAAGTTTTTATTCATGACTTTCTGACGTGAACAAAATTAGGCGAGAGTCAAAAGCCTCTCATGTCAATAATCAGTGTTCAAAACTTCAACGATGTCTCACAACTGCTCCATTGAGAAATAAAAAAACAGACTTTTCTTTTCTCATGCAAATTGTGTCTATTAATTCATACGTGTGTGTGCAGCTGGTTGAGCGAAAAGCAGGAAGGATTTTCGAAGACAAAAGGGAGTCAGCTAAGAGGACCACAGATGAAAACAACGGGGAGAGGATAAGATGAGGAGGGGTGCAATGAAAGAAAGGGAGAAAGAGAAAGGGAGGCAAAGGATCGAGAAAAGTGGGACGCTTTCCTGGAGGCCCCATATCATGAGATTCTCATTATTTACCTCCATGGATACCAGCAACCAAACCCCACCCCCCAAATTCTTTTTACCATTTATGTCATTCTATCTTTTCTTATTCTTACATCTTTAAGCTTCCCTCGACACTCTCACTCTCCTTTGAACCCTGTTTCCTTTCATCATTTACCCTCTTTTTATAACTGTTCCAATTACATGTGTCCCATATCACACTGAATGGTAATGGCTGGGATGTGTTTAGCTTCGATAACACACCAAAAAATATTTGCAGTAGAAGTATATAAATACGTGTTTTTTGGTATACACCCTGCTGCATTACTGAATTGCAGCACTTGCAGAGTTAAAATCACTACTGATTGGGTAAATCGTAAGTACTTCAAAGCCCATTGCACCTCGTTGTACACTAAAGGGAACATCAAGCCAACAGACATATTTATTACATCAAGAGGAAATAATTTACACTAAACTTCTCCTTATTCTAAATAAGGATAGGATCAGTCTCAAACTCTGAGACAAGAAGTATTTTCCTAATTGTCCTAGCTGTTCATTTAAGATAAAAGTCTGCATTCTTTTTAATGGTTAGCAGGTGGTGACTGTAAGAAGAAAGAAGTTAGACTGTAAATCAATCTCTCATTAAATGACCCTACACTGGTCACTTGCTGTATGACCTCAGCAGAGACTTTCGTGATAAGTTTATGGTGTCAGTTGCTAGTTTGAAATCTCACTGAATACAACTTGATGTTGATTTTGTAAATTATGTGTAAAAAGATGTTGAAGCATTTGTGCTTCTGGAAATGTCTACTCGTGACTGGCAAGTCACTACTGCAGAGGTCAAAGGACTTAGTTCATGCTTCAAAATGTCAATGCCCATCTTTTATATACAGTCTATGGAACTAGCTAGGCTAACACGTCCTTCCTGAGTTTTTTTTAAATCAAGTTGCCAGGAAGCAAGTGGACAATCCAGGAAGTTTCTGTTTACAGCCAAGAAATATCCCCATATCATACGACCTGCAAAAAAGCAACAATCTGATGCATACATTTTAATCAGTGTCAGCAGATTAAGTGTGGTTGGATGCATTTAACCTGAACTTTTGTTTAACTTTTGATTTAAAAGCAAGATTATTAAAGATTTCTAGCTCTTCTGGTATGTGTGTGTGTGTGTGTGTGTGTGTGTGTGTGTGTGTGTGTGTGTGTGTGTGTGTGTGTGTGTTTTAAGTGATTAAATATTTATGTTGGTTTTCTCAGCATTCTGATTTATATTTGTGATCTTTATTTTCATACAGAGAAACAGAGTATGGTTCTCATTGCGCACAGCTCAAGCAGCCAAACTTCAATCTGCTATTTTGTCTGAGAGATATTTCAGGTCATGGAAGAGATCAAGAGCCAACAGTGACTTCATAGAGCATGTGATAGGTTACAAGACTTTGCATTAAGGGAAAGGCAAACAGAAAATGTCAACATGTATTTTTTTTTATAGCTTTATAACTCACTACCAAATTGTTTGTGAGATTAGACCACCCACAGGCTACCACAAGGGTGCAATGTGATTATAATTCAGAAGCTAAATGGACAGTTTTTGTTAGCAAACCCTAACCCATCGGGCAGATTGTTTTCCTCCTCCTGACCATTGTTCAGTTTTCAAGGCAGAAAGGTAATCCTTTTAAATTTGAAAGGTATCCTTTTTCTTTCTTTGGGGTTTAAAACTGATAATCCTTTAAAAGTGGACCAGCTCTTGTTCTCTTTTCCCATTTTAAGAAGAAATTGTAATCTGCTTTTAGTTTGGCCCCGGATTTTCTTCCAACAGAAATCAGAGGATCTGCAAGAGGATCTCGATGATGGAGTGACGGCACAAGCGGAAGAATTAAATGTCCGCTTAAAAGAGAACAAAGTTATAAGGAGAAAGACAAAGTGAAAAATACAAACATGCCAAAAGAGAGAGGGAGATGCTGGGAATGATTTTACTGAAATATTGCATGAAAACAATAGAAAGGAATAATGTGGGATCGACTGGAAACAATAAGAGGTGTAAAAGAATGAGAACGTAAATAAGAGGAAAAGCTGCGGGATGGAAAGAGGCAAAATAAAACAAGCGAACATTTGCGAACTGACATAACAAACCACACAGGATATTGAGTTGGTGGTCAGCCTGAGAAGAATGATTTTTATGGAGTGGTGAAGAAGCTGAACATGGCGTGCACACACACATGCACGCACACATATATTAGGAAACCAAATCTCCCAGTAGGAGCCAGTGTGGTTTTAACCTCTGACCCTGCGACCTCGTCTTAGTTACAACGCAGACAGCTTAGCTGCTGTGAAACCATCAGATACTTGTGGTAAAGTTGTAGCTGGGGAGTGATTATATGTTGTTAAGCCATCTCACCTGAATGAAGTGCAGTTAAAAGGCTTCGTCGTTTATGCAGTGAATTGCAGAGGTTGCTATTTTTCTTCTTGTAAATAATTAAGAGTTCTGGAGGCAATCTGCCATTTCAGCATGCAGATCTATGTATTGTTACACAGCCACAAACTGTGCAGGTACTTAATCGTGTTGGCCATTATTTCATATTTTTAAATAAAGTGTTGTATTGTAGGGCAAGAATATAAAAATTGCCCCACAAGTAACATTTTTAAGCAGATGTAGCATCCTCAGTTTGCAATGGATATAAAACACAGTCTGTCTTAATTTCATTTGAAACTTTCTTTCATTTTCCCTTTGCACGCATTGCTGCAGTGCTTTTGAGATTAGATAGACACGTGGATGAGTAATTGAGCAAAATTTCCAAGCTCATCTAAAGATTTTCTTCTTTTCTTCACATGGATTCCTTCTGATGGCAGAGCAAACACAGGGGTTAAAGGTAGAGCAGAGTGGTTTCAGTAAATCTCTGGAGAACAACCCCTTCAGCTCTAATGCTAACTTTCTCGATTCCTCATTTCTTTTTTTCTCCATGTGTCCTTTTTGAATTTAAGCCTTTCACCTTTCAGTGACCTGTTCAATGACACTGCACTGGGCAGCACCAGGGCAGGGCAGACGTATGCTTGGTTTGCTTTGTGTGTGCATGCATGCATAACAGCTGAATGTTCCACAGATCCACTGCTACGTCACTAAACCATCTCTGAATGTGTCCCATCTCCTGTTCTTTAGCTCATTTCAGACATGGAACCTTTAAAAATGCTGCATTTAGCAGGCAGTTGTGTTTTTTAAGGAAAAAAGAAGCTTTAGCAAACACGTGAAAGAGCACCTGCTCAGCAGTTACCAACTAGCTTTTAGCAGTTAAATGGCACAATATCTTCCCTCTGGAATAGAGGGACTGAAGCAGAGCTACAAGTGAGGGAAAGGTGAATCATCAGTAATGAAAGGATTACAAACATGACTTTCAATTAAAGCTAATGTTACTTTGTGGCTCCAAATTCTTCCAGTTATTCTGGGGTGGCAAAAAAAAATCCTACCTGCATTGTGACCACAGGAAATGCATTTTTGAATGAATGAAGCTCTGCATTAATGAGCTGAAACCAGCGTCCCCAGGAGGTGATTGAGGTGGACCCAGTAGGTCATTTGTTCAAGCAGCTTGTTATAAACCATTGTTGGGTTCAGTCTGACAGTGCTCATTAAGGACTGTGGTCAGTATAGCTTTATTTAGGCAGAGGAAACCAATTGAGAGTGAAGCTTTTATTTACAACAGTTCCCTTTGATTACACAGTTTGAAAGATATGAAGGAAGCAAGGAAAGAACTGAGGTCTTAATAAGTCTGAATAAGCAGGCGATCTGTTTGTACGAATGGCTTATCCAAATGCAGGATTTTACCATATGAGACTGGACAATCAAGCTTCATTTGAACTGAGTGTGGATAATCACACCAAGTTAATTTTGTGCCTAGAGGACAAAAATAGTTGATAGGGTCATATCAACTATTTAGGGTCATATCAGAGCATACAGGGGCAAACAACCATGATCATTTGGGCTGCCAACTGCAAAGCCATCACGCCTGCCTGTGGTTAGTTTAAATGGTGACAGATGTGGCGCAGTAAGAAGAGTTAATAACCATAATAATATGGTTGGATAAAAACATTTAATATATAAATCTAGTCAGATTAAAATCAGATTTTTAAATGTAAAAGTTTATTCTTGACGTTGTCTTTACTTTTTCTGTCTCTGAGCTGAACCACATCTTGAAAAACGGTCACTTCAGGCTGCACTGCACAGTTTTTTCCAGCATACTCAGTCCTCAGGTGTTCCACCCAAATATGGAAGTAAAAAAGAAAAAAGAGAGAGACAGAGACAGAAATTCTGTGTGGGGTGAGTGTAGGTATGTGAAGGGATTAGTGGCTGTGGCCATGGCTAATCTGCAAGTCCCCAGGGAGTCCCCACCACTGGACTAAGTTTGTGGAATGAATTGTGTGTGTGTGAGTGAGTGTGTGTGTGTGTGTCAGACCTGCCACTGTGCACACCAAGCTGCCTCCCTGTCTGCTCCATTGACTTGTGATTAAGACTTATCACATCAGGAAGTAACACTCTGCATGTGTGTCTTGATGTCTACGTATTTGTGTGGCTCTGTATCTGTCTGTGCTTAGCAACAGGCAGCCTTTTGCTCTTTGAAGCTTTTGGCCAAATCAAATTTATTTGAATCTGTCTGCTGAATGGTGCAGTTTCTTTCATTTGCTGTTTCATGTGCGGTGCGTGGAAATGTCTCTCTGCAGAGCTGCTCATGCCTCTGCCAAAACAGAATGAAAGAGAAAAACCTTTCATTCAAAGCAAATGGTGAAAAGGCAGGTTTTGCTGTTATAGCTTATTCAAAGCATCTTTATTTAGCAGGAGCCACAATATTCTTCGTGCCAATTAACATATACACAAGCACAGTTTTTAAAGACTTGCATTCACAGCTGGGAAATAATATACTGAAATAAATTCAGTCTGACACTCTCG